ATTGTTAAAGGTAAAAACTCTGTGTGTATGTGTGTGTTTTGGGGAGACAGTAAGTTTTGGATAGGTGAGACAGTGCAGAACTGACCTTGATTCAGAGACATAGCCTCCCTACTGGACAGAATCGATAGCTTTTGCACACTGCCCTTAGTCCCCATCCCCTGCTCCGACACACGTAAACACACACCCTCACATAAACACACAGATCCATCTCCAGGCAGCGATCAATAACTATAATCTGTTTCTGCCCATTGCCAGTCATGCGAGCCAGGCTTTTAGGAGGTGTGCATGTGTGTGTGTGTGCATCTGTGTGCAGTAGCAGAGACACGAAAGGGAGGCTCGATCCTTTCAGTGGCACCCAGAAAGCTGCTGAAGTCTGTCATGTTCCCCTCAGATACTCATATGAGCATATCTACGGGCCCCCAGCTCCATAAATGCCAGAATGAGAGCTACGTAATTTCATTGAATGTGTACTGAAAACATTATGGATATGGTATACTATATGCACTCCTTTGTTTGCTGTTGCTACACCCCTCAGACACCATCATAATTATTACAGTCACTATGCTGACAATGACATATTCTCACACCCTTTCTGAGCAAGTTATTGTCCCACTCCCGCTGCGTCTCTGTCTAACGGCAGCACGTTCTTTTGTATACTGTAAGATTCCTCACCTAGACGAGATGAAAGTGCGCCTGTATGCATGATAGGGTGTCATGAATAGGATCTGCCATGTTAGCGTTGTCTCACATGAATTATTTAGCATCGTTGATAGGTCTAATTTGCCAGCTGTTGTGCCATAACTGTCGACAGTCTCATGGATAATACTCAGCAGTCTGTATCTCTAGAACACAGTGCTTGACTGGGCACAGTGCGACACCAAGCCAGTCATTATAAGCAGAATTCATGTAATGGTCAGAGCTGATATGAGAATAACTAGCCAACTTTCTGTTAAGGGAAGACAAGGCTGGCCATCTAAAAGGCCTTATAAAAATTTCCCAAGTAATTTGCAGTGTAAAATTCCTCATGGAAGACATAAGGAATCACACTGACTATTTGCGCAATGTATGTTATGATATGTCTAGTAGTGTATCTGCGTTGCTGAATGCAGGCTATTTATTTGGAGGCAGTTGACTGTTCTTGGCTGGGTAGGTAGGTGGGGGTTAGGGGCATTTCTGAGTTGAAGTGTCCCTGCGTGGACAGGGTGGTTTGATGGAGGCTGGCATTGGCTTTGATAGAGCGGTTGAGAGTTTACGCAGTATTTAGGAGAGCCACAGAGAGCGGAGTGGTCTCTCCCCCACTGAATGTTTTAAACTAATCCCATTATCAGTGTAGCGCACTGCCTCCCATCTTTTCCCCCTTCTTCCTTCTTATCCATACCCCCTCCCACCCTCCTCTCCAGCTGACCAGCTGTTCTTGCTGGGACTCACGACAATGTCCAATGTGTTCAGATCACTGAGTTACCCCCCTCAACACACACAAATACACAAGACTGCAGTATATGCACTACCAAAGCAATCGCCTAGCCCATTGCTGGAGCCTAGGAAGGCCTAGAGGGAGGAGGGTGTTAGTGGAGAAGGAGGCAGTTCTGGGGGTGCAGAGGGGACAAGCGCAGGCCTGTCAAACCAAGAGCCCTGACTCAGAAGGCAGCCCAGCTCGCATGGCATATGGCGTCTAGCTTCATACAACATGCAAAAGTATTCTCTCCCTTTGCCCCCTCTCATTCACCCCCACATCTCCTCATCTCCCTCCCCTGCTGCTAATGTAGAATGACTCATAGCATTACTCTTTTTTTTCCTACCCCCCCCCCAACACACACACACA